GGGATGTCTGAAGTGATCCCTGTTGTGCAGTGAACAAGGTAGCGACCCACCAGCTTTGGGCATGAAAAGGACAAACAACTATTTATGTAGCATGTTTTCAACGTGTTCTTTTTGCCACCCAGCCATCAGGGTTGTTTTCCGTCCATGTGAGTGATGTAGCGTTCAGCATTTCTTGGAGAAGGCTCTTCTTGGACGTCCTCAAGGCGAACATGGTAACATGGACTCAGTCTCACTACTCCACTGCTGCTCCTTCAGTGTATTTTTTGGGCGGGTCCGCACAGTTTCATCTCAACATTAGGCTCCAACTTTGGGATTCGCACCCTTCAACGGCGGAGTCTTCTTTCCTCCACTCCACGAAACAGTCGCCGGCTGTTCAGGCGACGGAGCTGAAAAGTAGGGGCGCCCGAGTTCGCAGCGGAAGATGTGCCGACTAGTTTATTGATGTCTGCCACTGTTACACTGCACTACTAGTGGATTGACCTGACAATTCTGTATTTTTAATAACCTTCGATCCTGAGGTCCTGTACAGTTCTTTGCAGTTTCAATGCCCAATGAACCTCCCACCTAGATGCTTACTGAAACAGGGGGGAGTATATACTGTAGGTAGTACTGTAGGTAGGTTGCGACCCTGGTTACTTTTTGACCTTGATTGAACCGACGATGTTCACCACCATCTCTTTCCATTCTCCTAGGTGCCGAGGCCATCAGTGCGGCGATTGACCGCTGCGATGAGGCAAGAGGTTCACCCGGTTCTCACCCAGGATTCGCTCCAGTGGAAGATCACTGATGGATGATGTTCTTCCTTGTCTCAAGACCGACACCAGATGGTTTTTCTTGGTAGGGAAGTGGTGTGGGGAGGCATTAAATCGAACTCCAGCTCGATTTGGTACAAACCGGGCACAGAATGTGACTTTTCGCTTCGCTGTGTGAACCTTCCTTAGATGTTGCAGTTCGGATCTCAGGTGTGGTCTGTGCACAGTATGTGGAGCCGAAAGCAGTGCCCGTGCCGGGCGGATCCAGCGAGACAAGCTCTAGAACTGCTCAAACTTCCCAAGCCTTAAGCATCACTGCCAATCTGTATACCACAAGGACATTCTGATGAAACCTCCTTTCACCCACTCGTGGATCTCCCTTAGATATTCGAAAAAATGACCAACATCTCCCCAGATCGTCATGAAGTTTGGCCTCATTTCACCCACCCCTCTTTGAGAGCATCGATGTCGCAAGAGCATCAGCGCCCATCAGGGCACCTTGCGACGACTCTTGCAGACGGTGATCCGGAAGGCTGCGGTCGCGGGGTGGGGCGTGGGGTCCAGTGAAGCTGGCGGCTGGATGTAGAGAGAGCAGCATTGCCAGTTCTGGAACTTTGGACACCAGGATGCCAGTACGTCAATCACGTTTTTGTATCGTTTTGGTGGTGAGGCTTGGAAATTGATCCAGCTGTCCAGCTGCATCTATCCGAGAAACCCACTCCATTTGCCCACACAACCGAGCCTTGTCCGGTCAAAATCAAGAAGAGGAGCTTCTGGACTCACCATCTCTTGCTCAATTGATTTGAGTTCGGGCCACACCTCTGTGCCCCGTGTGGGAGAAGGCAAGAAGGGCGTCGTCACGTCACCAGAACGGCCCCAGATGCCGCTGCGGAGCGCGGCGCTCAGGTCCCAGAATGCCGCCGGAAGATTGCCGAGGAGCTGTTGGGACCGGGGGACCAGTTGCTGTCGCTCAGAAGTGAGCCAAAGAACGACACCTCAAAACCACCTGCTAGGCTGCTAGATTCATTTTGGAAATGAATGTGGCAAATGTAGTAGCTTCACATTTATTTGACAGTTGTTTCAGGGAGACACACAATTGAACTGAGCAAAGAAAAGACTCAGGGCCAAGGGCGTGGGTGCACGTGCCCAAAGGACTCATTTAGGGGTCCCGTTCTGGCTGGCTTGTTTCAGGCCCTTGCCAAGCAGGAGATCCTTTTGCGCATCCAAGGACCACCAAGTTGTTCCTGTTTGGATGACTTTCCCCCTTACCGACCAAGCGCGCTGAACTGGATTCCAGATTGTACGTGCTTGGGTCGGGGCGATCACACCAACTCTTCTCTTCTCTTCTTCCTCTCCATCGATCTCTCCACCCTATTACTGTGACTTGTCTCAGACCCATACCAATCATTGCAAAGGATTCTTCAATAGACAAATAAACAAACACGATGGACCTCGTTTCTATCCTTTTCTTTCCAAAGAACTTGGACTTTCCCCACCAACACCAGCACCCTCACCCCCCCCATCGGCTTCACCAATATACTGACGCGGCTGCCCGAGGATGCCAACCTCAGCGCAGAGCTCTACCAAGTCAGCGAGGAGGAGCGTCAGAAGGTGCCCTTCGTTCCGACGGTGTGGACCGGTGTCGTTGAGTGCCACAGTGCCACAGCTGCCATTGATGAAATAGAGGCTTCCAACGATGCAGATGTTGCTTACCAGTAAGTGGGTTAATATGAGTTATTCTTTTTGTTGTGCGTCGTTTTTAGAGTCTTTGCTGCTTTGTAGGATCGCATCCTCCGGTGTTTCATGCTCGGTTTTTTGAGTGTGAAGTCAGTCCGGTCCTCCGTCCTCAGGTTTCATCCGCGGGATCTTGGACCGATATTGAACGTAGGTCCGAGCACAGGTGCCAGGTTCGTGCACACTGTCCACGGAATTGAATACCTGAATCAACTTATCTATAATGTGATATATAGCTTTTAGGTGTTGCAAAAACGAACATCACTGTTGGAATGCGGTGTGGCCCTCATCTTCCGAACATGGGTGCAAGAACATCGCTGTGGATCTGCCCCCCATGCTTCCTGGGTGGCACTTGAGCTGCCCTCCTGTCTAACCCGAACCTCCAGGCGACCGCGGACCAATACAGCGAGAAAGTCATCAGCTGCCTGGTGAGGATTAAGGGGGATCCGAGGTGCCGAACGAAAACGGACACTCCCAAATGGTATTTGCAAATATGTTCAAACTCAAGGGGATTTGTGGAATACTTCTTTTTTTTTCTCCAGAATTCTCTGGTGGACGAACAGGCGTTGGAAGGTGGGAAGCCTGTATTTTTTGAATGTTTGGCGGGATGTGTGAAGGATAGAAGATCCGTGGGCCACCATTCTTGTGATGGACGTGATCAGAACAATCTTTCTGCGAGATCTGTGGGTTTCAGCATTCAGTGGAGCGTGTCTCAGAAATCTAGCTGTATTGGGAGGACTACCGGCTGAGAAAACCAGCGTGGTGCCAAAGGAAGCATGTCCGGTCAGGACGGGTGACCCAAGACAGACAGGTTCAAACCCAGACCCGTTTGGTAGGCCCAGTAGAGTCTCAGTAGAGGTTCAGGCGGCCAACGGATGACCCGGTCGGCGGCCTGACCCCTCCGCATCCCTCCGCCCTCAGCCCAAGGACAACACCATGTTTAGAGAAAACCTTTCACCCACCGGTCTCAAGCACTTCACCCTCCTCTCCACCTTTCGGCGAACCTCTCCACCTCTCCGCTCGCCTCCGCGCGTTCGGTGCGCTGCGACCGAGCGAGGCGAAAAGGTGCGCGGGACCGTGGCCTCGGACGCCGTCGACTTCTGCGAGCGCGCGAAGTTTGTGCCGATGAGGCGGGTGTTCTTGAGACGGGCTGGGGCGGTCAGATCGGTGGTGGACATGGCAGGATGAGGCGGTAAATGCGGTTTTTGGGGTTGGAGTGTTCTGCAGTCTCTTGTGCCTGGTAACTAGGCTCTTGTCAAGGAACGGGCCAAGAACCTCTGCAGCAATTATTGATTATTGCAGGACAAGAGGATAAACCTCAGATGGTTTCTTTTTGCGTCCCTTTGTTGGAGCTGCCCGACTGTGGCACTCAATCCACAGGAACCCCCACTGCCACTGCACTACTGCTTTGTGGGTGAAGCTCGGCCAACCCAGGGTCAAAAGTATGAGTCCTTTTGGAAGCTGCAAGTTGAAGGCAGCTATAGACTGACCCATCTTATCCCATTTCTTGCCGGCTTTTCCTTGCTTTCTTGCGCAAACGAGCTGCTCACCGGCTCACCGGGCAACCTGAGTCGACGAACAGATTTGTACGAACGTGTTTCTTCATGGTGGCCGTTCCTTTCTATTTGATCCACACTAGGCCTCTGCTTCAGGCCAGCTGCACGGTGTCTCCAAAGCCCCAGGTGTATGAGGCTTGACATCACCCCGCGCAAGTATGTGAACCCAAAATTCTGGGGAACCCTTTGAAGTCACCTGCTTTGGGCCGCGCTGGCTGACCGTTTTTTTCCCCCCTAAAGTGCCGGTGTGACGTAGACTTAGGCAGTTCGTCATGGGTCGAAAAAAGGAACCGATTTTTCCCAACCGAGAGGGCTGCTGGGGTTGATCAAGACAGCTTTTCTAGTAGCATTAAATATGGTGGTCATTCTCGATGGGCATCCCAAGAACACCCACAGGCACAGATATATGCATGTTAGGCTTGGACACTTCCCGAGCAGGTTGACCTATGATGAGCGAAAATACCTCAGACTGATCGATGCCACCATGCATGTCGGACGGCCAAGGGCAGGGGGATCAGGCTACGGGTGCACTTTTTGGAAGCGAAGGATCCCGATTTGGGTGGTCTGATTCCACGCAAAGTTAGGGAACTTCTTGCATGGCCTAGTGAGTCCGTGGCCACCCAGCACCGGTTTATTGGGGAAGCACCAGGTGAAGACCGACCTCAACGCTTGAAACTCCAAAGGCCAGACCTTCTTCTCTCCCTACTTGGTGACAAGCAACCTGTTGGTGAACCAGGGATGATGCAAATTTTTTGGGCGAGTGACAAAGGTTCTTGAGATCTCGAGGCAGAAGTCCATCACCTCAGATATTCCCACACTCTGATGTTCCGGATGGTTCTTGATTCTTTTTTTCAATGCTCATCTTTTGTGCTTCAAAGCCTCCGTTCAGGGGGGCACAAGCTGGGCTCCGGTGACGCGCGCGCGGGGGGCGTTGGTTGGCCGCTCCAGCGCCACCGGAATGCCATGGGGGACCTGGTCGCTGGCGGCGCTCGCGGTGGCGCTGAGGCTGTGCGGCTCGGCGAAGTCAAGAACCCATGGATTCTGTGAAGACCTGAAGAGGTCTACAGTTATAGAGGTTCAGTCTGAGGATGCATGTCCCATGTAAGTTTTAAGGGAGGTTCATGGATTCATAGGGGTTCAAACATTTACCAATTCACACTTAGATCTTCACCATATCTACTTTCCGGTTCTATGTTCACATTTCCACACCAAACCCATGCCGCCGTCCGGAGGGCCCGAGGTCCCACTGGTCACCTCCGAGGCCCGGGCGCCGCGGAGCGCGAGGAGCTCTTGCTGCTTCAGTCGAAGAGCTCGCGCACGGAGAGGACGAAGAGCACGTGGCACAGCGAGTGGGATTTGGCCGCGTAGAGTAACGTTGCTTTTGTGGGGGGGAGGGGCTGGGGAAAGGTGAAAGTTTTGTCATTGATTTTGGGATGGGTGGTGATGATGGAGTTCTATTTGAGGGAATTCAGCTGGAGGTATTCAAGGTATGTACATTTATGTTCATGGCGCGCCTTGAAATCACTTCTAGGTGCCTGGGGATCTGAAGCAATCGCTTTCTAACGGACCAACAGATTCTGGATGACTTGATCCTTCACTGATCCTTCACACCAACCATTTGAAGCTTTTCAATCTTAAGACCCACATCCAACATAGCTGCTCCGTGTTATGTAGTTGGTGTTCATAGTGCCAAGACCCTTCATAGTGCCCAGGAACGCCCGGTGCCGTTCGTGCTCCAATAGACTCGTTCGCCCGTGCCGTCTCCATCCATCGCGCTCGGTCAAGGCGAGAATCCCAGGGGAGCAGAAGATCCCCTTGGGCGAGGAGTTGGAACTCAGCTTCTTTAGCAGCTCGGTTTTCGGCTATGATCGTGGGGATCTAGACATGGAGCCTTTCTGCGTGACGGTGCCGGCGCAGATCCGCTTGCGTGGCCTGTTCTTGTTTTTAAAGGAGAAACGGAGGGGGTGTGAGGAGGGCTGTCGAGGTGTTCTGAGGTTGGGGCGGGTTGTCTTAAGTTTGCATTTGGACCTTTGGCAGCCCTTGAAAGGCAAGAGTGCGCCAAAGAACCACAGACACTCACAAGACCAGCTGGCAGATTCGTTCAACGCGCTGTTCTGTTTCTTTTTCTTTTTTGGTTCTTTGTGTCGGCCCTCTGCGTGAGGCGTGGTTCCCACCTTTGGCCAGGATGGAAACTTCATTGCGTGACGCGGCTGTGGAAGTTTGGAGGAGCAAGTAGCGTGGCGAGTATGTACCATCCATAAGCATCATCATCCACAACCAGATGGCTAGATAATGAACGAACTGGAAACAGATGGTTCATCCGTAACCATCCATGTCTGTTTAACCAATGTCTTTTCACCAATCCTTTTCACGTCTTGTGGAGCATCCAAAGGCACCCGGTTCCCGTGGCTGATCACCCACGTGGCAAGGCTGACGGACGGTGGCAAGCCGTGAGGGTCCGAAGACATCTTCCCATTTTTGGAGGAACCGTTTTGTGACTGACCGAGATGGTGATCCAACACCTGCATGATGTGGGTGCTACACTCGGAATTTCTCACCTGGGTCAGTGGAGTGAAAACCACCTGTTTGGTACTCGGAAAACGTTCGCTTCCATGAATATTTCACGGAGTGTATGCTTTGTTGCATTTTACTTGGTATATAGTATACAACTTAACAACTCACATAGGGCGGTTGTGATGTTGGTGGCTGCTCTCGACGCCTGATGGATGGAGGTTGCTTCACTTCAACTCCTGGAAGATTGCCGAGTACCTGAAGGACACGGAGACTACTGCGACGTTTTTTACGTTTTTCGTGTTCATGTGTGGGGTGTTTAGATGGTTGGGCGAGGCTCACACTTTGAAACACTTTTGAGCTGTGCAACGAACACACCAATTTTTACACAAGGTTAATCTCTTGTTTGTGAACGAGACTTTCCAAGAGGCTAAACCCAGTCAGCAAACGTAACAGACCACCCAGAGCCACAGTATTCTCCTATTAGTAGCTTCCATGCTTCTCCAGCCTTGAACATAGGACGAGAAGCATCGATTGCTCCCTGGCATGCGAAGCGAAGCTGTTCTTGTTTGACAGCAAGACGTGGCAGCAAACGAATTCAGGCAGGAGTAGACTGACGGCCCAAGCAAATGGAGAGGCGATTTTGTTGCGCAAGGTTGTTGAACCGATTTGCACTGCCGACTTGACACTTGAAGTGCTTGGACTTGGACACACAAGCGATGAGCTAGTACATAGAGCACCTATCCGGTCAACCACTGCGGGTGACTTTATGCTTCCCAACATCGCCACACACACACACATCCACAAATGACCGAAAGGACGACACACCAAGTGCAAGAGAGGCATGAACGAACCTCCGGAATTGTTCAGATCCTGTAAATAGCTAGCCATGAGGAAGGACATCTGTAAGGCACTTGTTTCTAGTAGCTTCTTGTTACTACTAGTAAGGCACTTGTTACTAGTAGCGATGCACTTGTTTCTAATAGCTTCTTGTTACTAGAAAGATCCCCAAACAGAAACCTGTTCCCGATTCGCTGAGGTTTTGCTCGGGCGCCAACCGGTCGCACGTGACGCCGCTGCGCGTCTACGGCCCGCGGCGGAACGTGTCTGAGGAGGCGAAGCTCCACCCAGTCGGCTCGTCTTGTTCCTAGTAGCTTCTTGTTACTACTAGTAACAAGTGCCACGCTAGTAGTAACAGGTGCCTTACTAGTAGTAACAAGAAGCTATTAGAAACAATAAGCTAATAGCTTCTTGTTACTACTAGTAAGGCACCTGTTACTACTAGCGTGGCACTTGTTTCTAATAGCGTCTTGTTCCTAGTAGTAATGCCCTTGCTGACAAATGGGAAGGATCAATAGGCCTTGACTGCCTCTTTTCGGGCCCAGTGCACAGTGACTTACTGTAGCGGTGGTAGGAGTGCTTGTAGAAGTAGCGGTTGGTGGTTTCTCATGTTACTTGGATACTTGACATGTGGCATGTTCAACAAGATTTCGAGGTCGTTGGCTCTGGGCTACGATATCAGAAGCACACAAGTTTTGATTACCTCACACTAGCAGGTTCTCCCTTTGATCCAGAACAAATGGTCGACTGGGTACAACTCCAGTCGTAGGGAAGTCGCCTGCCACGGTCCTCGGTCAGAAGCACGGCTTGAACTTCCTCTGTGACTGGCCAGCGGCCGAAGCCCACCTGGAACGCTTCGAGGTCTTCTTGGAGGAGCCACGGAGCCCGGCGGGCGCCAAAGAGATAGGAGTTTTTTGAAAGAATATCTAATGGGAATGGGAATATTAGCGGGTTTTAGGGAGACAGTTGGGTGACTGGGAAAGGAGTTTGGAGGCGAACATTGGTAGATGCTAGGTGTTCGTCCCAAAAGCATCACAGAAGACACAGTCATATTTGTGATTACAAGAACCTGGGAGCAAGAGCATTTTTGCTCAGTTCGTGGGTCCAGCGTTGCGGAAAAAGATTCCAGCACATGGAATGAATGGAAGGTGGCCTGCCTTGCCAGGGGAAGTTGAGGGAGAATGCTGACCTCCGTTTGTTTCTAGGTGAGCTTGTGGTTGCAGTGTTAGGAAAGTCGCTTGAGCCTATACTGGTCCTTTGACCAAGGTGCAACGTGCAGAATCATACTCTCCAAGCCTAAAGGACGGAACTTTTGGCTTTAAATCACCCCGCCTTTGTAGGAAGGCCACCGGAAGACAAGAACGGACCCAACTTCAAAACTTGTGCAAGGTGGACATTCCTTGGCTGGAGACTGGGTGATCCAGCAGTTTACGGAGCACACGGAAAGACACGAAGGTTAGATGGATTCAAGGTGGCCGTCCTGCTTAAGAGCCAGATCCTTTATCTGACACGCTTTCCCCGGTTTTTTTTGCCAAAATTACCGATCCACTTGGGGAGATGGGGTGTGCTTCAGCATGTTTTCTCCTTCGAATTCGTGCCTTCGAGGACGCCACTGGAAAGGCGCTCGGTAGTGTGCTGGCCGAGCGAAAAGACGGGCTGCTGCAGTCACCAGTCGGCGTCAGGGGGCTGGTGGTGGCCCAGAAGTATTCGGTTTCAAACTTGACTTGACTCCTCGTACCACCAAATGGCCTTGCAGGCCCTGATGGCAGGGGAGTTTTGGGCCACCACCAGCGGTTGGTGCAATGCATGAGCAGGTTGACAATTGAGCGTTGCCAATCAAGACAATCCACAGCCCAAATTTTCAACTTTTAGACTCAGACTTGGATTGAAACGTAGGGTCGGGTCCAATATTTGTTTGAACCCTGAACGACCATCCTTGGTTTTTGTACTCAGTAAGTTTCGGGGTCGAAGACCACAGATGGTGGTTCATAGAGGCAAAAGGGGGCGAAACTGATTTTCTCTTGCATTAGGCACCGTGTTTGAGATGCCTTGGATCGCTTCTGAGTCACAACAGACACGTCATGTCATGTCCTTTGAGCCCAATGGTATCTAAACGCGGGGAAAACTCTTAATAGAAGAGCAAACCGCTTGACGTCTTGACATAGCCAAACTTCTTGAAATGACGAAGCGTGATGTTGATTTACATACATCTAACATCCGAAACCGATTTAATTATCCTGCTGTTAATTTCTATCGAGGGAAACGGCCTGAAACATCAAAGAGAGAACCAGGAACATATGTTGAAATCATATAATTACATTCCATTGATTCCATTGCAGCATGCAGCCCGTGAGAAAGCAATGCTTTTCATGCAACCTTTGGTTTCAAAGTCTTTTCAACTCAGTTGCACCGTGGGCTGCCGCTTGAGGCAGTATCGTAGTGCGGCCTGTGTGCGAGACGTCTTCTTCAACAATGAGAGTAGCTTCAATCATGCTTACAAGATGTTGCCAGAATGGCTGGAGTGACTTGGGACTTCTTTATGGGATGGGCTTTGGTTGAGGCGTGGGAGGCTCGACCAACCAGCATCAAAACTTGGGCTGGAACTCTATGAGAGTGAGACCCAGTTTCGTACATGATGTTCAAACTGGTGTAGCATTTTTCTTCTGAGGAATGACTGTCTTGTCGTCAACAAGAGCCCAGACCATCTTGGAGATGGTTGGACTCTCGACGTGGTTGTCAATCAACATTTGCAACACCCCCTCTCGCGCCAACATGTTCACGTACGTCAACAACCACCAGGCAGAAGAACTCACCCTCCAAACCCTCTTGTGAGCCAATATTCTGAACTGGTATTTTCTCAGTGCTTCTTCAATTCCACTCTTGAGCAGTATGCTCCTGTTTTCAGCTGACCTCGCCACCACGCTGTTCCGCTGGCACGAAAGAGCTGGCCTGGCTGAGGTATTCACGGCTACATGGCATCGAGCACTTCTTCATGTACACCTTTGGAGAGGTGGATCCCACCATGAGGCGAGATCCGCTGGCATTTGGGTTTGAGTGCGAGAGATGGGGTGATGAAAGGTGGTATTGAGCGGTGGTAGCTTCTCTTGCCGGAGGTTGCTGTCGAGCTTACTTGTCTTGCTCCTCATTTCTATTTTTGATTTGGAGTAAAGATGGTGTACTGTACAAAGGGCATCAAGGCACTATCCTTGCATTGCAAGTGTGAAGCTGTTCTAGTGCAATCGATGCACTGCACCAAGCTCCTCGTGCATTTGTGGTGGATGGTGTTCCGCAGGTGCAAGAGAATGAGCCAGATTCTGCCCCACCAAGATTGAGACATTCCGCACTCTCCGAACTGCTTTTCGTGGCTTTCCGTCGGATTTGTGGGTGATGATTATGTTCTTTTTTGTTTTTGTTTTAATTGAGATGCATGGTCGCATACCCTCATGTTTCAAGCCCAACAATAGCAACAACAATCAGCACCTTTAGATGTTTACATACAAGGCTTTTTGCTTGCACATGTTTACTAGGCCTTTTATGATTGATGGTGTTTTGTATCACTACCCACCAGCGGGCGGTCAGGCACATGCTGGAGGTGTATCTCGCCAAGGGTTGGGCGTCCCGGATCCACTTCGAGCGCTACCCGGACACGGTCGAGCGCCAGCATGCGATCATGGAGGATTGCCTCTACCGTGCCAAAGGCGCGCCCGGGAAACCGGGGCGGGGGTGGCTGGACTGGACCCGTGAGGGCGCAGCTTGAACCTGCTCACAGTGCATGGCGCATGGCTCTTTTTGACCCCTCTTCGGCCCCTTTCCCTATTCAAAAGACTGAAGACAACTTCTGGCATACCAATCTCGCCAAACCGTTTCCCCATCCCTCCATCTTCCTAATGATTCATCTCTCTCCCTCTCAGGCCACGTTCAGTGGCTGCTGCCCTCCCTGGACCTCGACGAGTTCCTGCGGCCCGGCAACGCCACGCAGCTCGCGCAGCTCTGGGGCTCTGCGTCGGTTCCGCAGGAGACCCGTCCCGGCGCGTGCCGGGGGTGTGGGGTGTGGGGAGAGGAGATGGTGGAAGTCCAGACGGGGAAACACCAACAAGAACCTGAAACGTTTGTGCGTTTCTCTTCTTTTTCCCTGGCGGGGTGTTCTGTGAAATGGCCGGGCGATGCCGGGTGTGCAATGTTTTCTTGGCGCAAAACCCATGGCTGCCAGAATTCGGTTGCAAGGCCAAGTTTGGATGACAGAAAGAGTCAAATAGTCAAAGCCTTGAAGCGCTTTTGGTCAAACCTCCGAGATGTTTCCTGTTTCAGTTTTGTTTATTGCTTTCGTTTGTATATTCCATTTTTGGTATTTAGATTCATGCAACTTGTTCCAAGCAGAATCCCGGCATAAAGACACTTCAGATCTTCATTTCTCACAGTACCATATCAACACACCGAGATCAAAGCTACATCTTCCAGCAGCAAGCCAAGCTGCCCTTTTGAATACCTGCCAGTTCGGATCAGATCTCATTTGCTTTTCCCTTGTGCAGTCTGGAACTCGTGAAGAGTTGAGGTTGGAGTCCACCGTGAACATATCACTGTCCATGAGGTCCAAAACACCGTCCACCGATGATGCACCTGTTCCTGGGTGAGCTGGGACTGTGGTTGAAAAACCATTTGAAGGTGAAAAAGCACCAGAATGGCCCCTTTTCTTGGTGTTTTCCTCTTTTGTCGAAGCTTGTTCGGAGACCGCAAGGACTACCTGCGCAGCGTGTGGGATGAGATCGTCAGGCACGAGGGGAAGAAGACTGGTAAGGTCAGGAGCATCAGCTTTGATCTGCAGCTTGGCATTCACCAGGATGGGAGTGTGCACCATCTGCGATGGCATGGGACAGTGGTGTTCAACAAGGTTGTCCCCCACCTCCGGCTAATGTTACTAACATGCATGTTCCTCCCACTGTGTGTGGCAAAAGCAATTTCAATATCCTAACTTCGAGATAGACCCTGTTTCCTTTTTCCAGTGCTGTTGGCCTGTTGGCCTTCTTTTTGTGATCAAAGTGGCGCGAGGCTAGGTTTCTATGGTGAACATGATGCTTCTTCACGTTCAGTTTGCAAAGGGACTACCCACAGTCCACTTTTGACAATCTCTTGTGTGGATGCGGGCCAGGACCCTCAAGCACCTGAAAGCCACCATTGAACCGACATGAAAGCACCGCTAAACCAACATGTAAAATGTCTTCAACATTTGCGATGATTACAAATGCGTGAGAACATTGCATTCATATGCTGGCATGCTCTAAACCCTGGCAAGTGATAGGGGACACAATATAAACGATACCCTTCAACAAGGTTTCAAAACAGGGGGAACGGATAGGGGACTCACAAAAATGCCGATGCAATAGCCACACCTAATAGATTTTGACCATACCCCATGTGAAAACACCATTACTGTAGAAGGATTGAATCCTATACGACGATGCCCCAAGCAGCCTGCTACTCCGGTCATTTCATGCCACTCGGATCCAGGTATCGCTACCAGCGCGCTCCGCCGAATCAGCTGGAGATGTTCTCCGAGAAGCGCTCGCCGCTGAACGGAGGTTCCCCACTGCCCAAGTATGCGGCCAACGTGAGGAAGGCTGCAGCAGAAGTCAGCGGTTGTTTGTGTACGCCATTGCTTCGGGAGGGCTCAGGGGGTATAGGGAGGCAGGTGGGGTGTCGGGGTCTTGGACCTTACAGGTTCATTGGTGACCATGTTGTCATGCCACAGCTCCCGGACAATGAGCCAAGGATGAGGAGACGTGGAGATTCCTGGTATTGTTTGCACATCTGGCCACAGCTCTGGATTGGTAAAAGTGGAGAGAATTCATCTTCCCTGGCAATTTTGGTGGCTTTCATTTTGGCACTCAAGGACTCACCATCTCTGTTTCTGGACGCAAAACCTTCTCTTTACCACACCGGTAGACCCATGGAAGGGCAGTACAAAGGCTTGGCCAGAGAAATCTGTTGAATGCGCTCTGCTGTGGTTCACTTCACTGCGGGTGTGACAGAAAGTCTTCTCATCCGTTTGCTGCACCCACCTGGCATTCCACCATCCGACGTCCCCGTTCTTCACGCTGGAGGTGCAGAGCTTGTGGGTCCATTGGCCCCAAGTCTACGAGGAGTCCACCCTAGCCCCTGGGAATCGAGAGCAGCGTTTGGGCGGGCGGAGCAGCGATTGGATGGGGGCGCTCGGATATGGCGCATTGGTAGGCACAGTGTTTCATTTTCCTTGGCAGTTTGCAGGATCGCTTGTTGTGAGGATGTACATATTGGCTAACTGCAAGTGGTTGGCGTGTTCTCTTGAGCGTTCCTTCAGGTGAATGACGCTTCTTTAGCAATCCAAGCGCGCGAGACTTCGACCCATGTCTTTTTTAGTGACTCTTCGGGCTCGGGTGTGGTGGAAGCTGAAAGCCCGCTTCCTGCTGAAGTTTGGACCCGCCAGCTCAGTGCTCTTGGACCTTGGGGCACCACCTGGTCGAATCCCAGTGCTCTCCAGCTACCTAAGATACCGTATGGGACGTCCGCGAACGTGTCACGTGTTCCGGGTTCGCCGGTGACCGGGCCTCACGTGTCACGGCTGAGGATCTTCGTGTCAACAAGTCCATCTTGGTGGCCAACCACTACAAGAGCAAGAAGAAAGATGGAAAGACACCCAGCCCAGATGTTTTCTGGAGATGCGTTTCTTTCTACAGTTAGTCAATTGTTTGCGCGCCATCTGTTCATGAGACCTCCAGGGTGTCGGGTCCCACCAGATGGGTCTCTTCGAAATCGACGAGAGCAAAACCGACAGCAACCGATTTTTCTTGGCCGAGAACACTTGGAACTGGATGCAGATGGAAGTTGACACCAACACCCCCATCCAACATCAAACATCTTGAGATGGTTTGGCAAGGGTGGTTTCCTGGTGAAGACATGCAAAGACATGTGAACTGATGCAAGCTCGTATTGATCAATTGTGCTGGCACTTTACGTTTCCAGTCCATCCATTAGCGTCCCTGGATCAGACCAAGCAAAACGTCCCTTGATCTTCCTGCCGCATTTCTTGCATGCGTTTCATGCTTTCATGCATGTCTGTAGAGTGTTGCCCCCACACGGCTTCTTAAAGCATGTCCTTGTCATCGGAGCCATCAAAGTCAGTGATTTGGCAGACAATCCCTGTTGCGTAGGTTGCAGGTTCCACTTCAAGGAATGAAGGCAGACTTCTTCTTCTTCTTCTTGTCCACTTTCATTTGAAGCAGTCACATGAATTCATGGTGACTTAAAATCATTAAAAACTATGCAACAAAGTCAACTTGCATCCTGAACGAGTTTTTGAGGGGGTGGCTGAGTGCATCTGAAATTTGTCCATTCGCCTTTCGAGGATGTGCTGCCGTGCTCCGTCAATCCAAGGATGATTGGATGTGAGGGCAAACCCCTCCTCACATTAAAGGTTGCCTTTGCTCCTTTGCTAGGCCGCGAGCCTTGCGGCGCTCAGGCAGCCGAAGCCACGATGGGAGGAGGATGAAAGATAGAATGTCCAAGAGGAATTGCAGTGCATCGCCCCATCTACAGCCATCCGGGAAAGCGGTAACCCTTACCATCATGTGCCGCATGTGTTGGCTGCCTTCGGTTGCGCACTGACTTGAAGCTGTGTCCGACTTTGTGTTTCTTCTCGGTGCTCACCAAAGCCGGGCACCACGGCCCAATGAAGCTGGGTAGGTGGGTGCGGTGCCAAGTGGGGTGACAGCGGCGGGCTCCAAGTTGCACGCCGAGGAAGACCTTCCCCATCTTCGACAGCGCGCTTCGCGGCGACGCAGTGGTGGTGGCTGAGCGGCTGCGGCGTCGCTTCGGCAAAGATGTGGCACAGCTGCTGGAGGGCTTGGCAGCTACAAGGCCTTTGGCCTCAGGCCAATGAAGGGGTGGGTGGTTTGGTGGTTTGGTGGAAAGGGCGTGGGTTGGATTGAGTTGGTTCAAAGTTTTTACCCGTGTTGTTGTTGTTGTTGCCATGAGGAACGACCCGCTGATGTGCGAAATGAAGGCACTTCACGGCTCAGCAGTATGGATGCTTGTGGCAGGAAGACTGAAAGCTCATTCACAACAACGATCACGAGCAGCACAAGAACTTCAGGACATAGCATATCCCCGCCGTCCAGGGAACCGCCGCCATTGAGAGACATTCTCTGTGGCGCTCTTTTGGGTGCGCAGCTGATCAATGACAGCTGCTGGTGCTGGGCCAATGCAGGCCTCTTATGCACCTTGTGGGCCTTGCTGGGACGATCCAGCTTTTCTCTTGATGATTTTGGCTCTCAACTACGACCTGTTCGAGCCTTCCTTCATCGATTACAGACCATGCCGGGGACAAGCGTGGCTCTTTCATTCCCTGACCTCCTCAGTCATGCGGCTCAGAAGTGTATGCCTCGGGATGTTGGGGAGTTCGTTTCAGAACTTGTGGATTGGCTGGAATCTCAAGCCATTTCCATGACATGGGAGAGACGATTCACTGCTGGTTCAAAAGTTGAGCGCCCAGAAGCTGGCACGTGGCAGCATCCCATTGCATTGGACTGTTTGTATGAGTTGGATATCCCTACACCTACCATGACACAGCTTTTGCAGCCATGGATTCATGCAGAATCAATGCGGTCAGCCTTCACTTCGGTTGGCACTTTGAAATGCATTTACATTGACAGATCTGTCATGCTGATGCCTGCCCTAGGTCACAACAACCTGATCGAGTTGGAGGACGAGCTTTTCTTGCCCTTCTTCACTGATGCCAGGACTATTGACCTGACCTGGATTCCTCATACACCGGTTTCAGCAGTAGTGCACTTGGGCAGCAGGACCTCCGGTCATTTCATCACCTTTTTGAAAGCCTGGAACCCGCCCTGCTGGTATGAACTTGATGATGCTAAGAAGGCCAAGATGCACTTGACACTTCCCACTTGGGCCAAAGAGCGCCTGGTACTGGTTTGGTATTGCCCATCTCATGCTGTACCTGACTCGTCGCATCCAAGCGCCAGTGAACTTGCTGCAGGTCTGCCATGTGCACCCGGTCCCTTGGATACTGAGGAAATGGAACCAGTCCTGGAATCTGAGCACTCTGAGGCTGCTGACACTGAGGACTCAAGTAATCGAACCGAGAATGTGTCTTGGCCTTCAGTCCCTGCCATTTGGACTGAAATCGATTCCAATGAAGATCAGCAGCGCCTGACAATGCTGCTGGCCAGAATCACAGATGCCCTCGACCCGGCTACTGGTCCTCATGAGCCTGCAGCCGAAGCCACCTGCGCCGCCGCTGCTGAGCGCCATGCGGCTTGCTGAGAGAGGCTGGAATCTGATAGGCACCTTGGGTTGATGAATCTCCCCCTGAATGCCGCCAGTTGTTTCAATTCTGTTTTTCAGCAGCTGCTGAATTTTGTTGAACAGAGTGAGACATCGCCTAAGAAAGGCGCATTTCGAACCATGTTGGCCATTGGCCTGTCCAGGACATAGCATGTCCCTTTGAACTTTTGGCCTTAGGCCTGTTCAGACACCCAGAAAGGAACTCTAAGGAGTCCGCCGGCCATGAGTGCCCGCGAACGGCTGCGCAACCTCTTGGGCGCGTGAGAAGAAGAAGAAGTTGTTGTTGTTGTTGTTGTTGTTTCAGGTTGGGTCACGGCTCTTCAATTTGTCTTGTCACAAACTTCAGGATGTATGACAAAATTTGTTCAATTTCTTTGTAGGGTGTACGACGTAAACATGTTCGTCCGATGTTGTGTTTCCAATGAGCTTGCCGAATCGTCCCACTCATGCAACGATTGTTTCCAGCGCATCTGGCAAATATGGGTATTGTTATGTTTTGCTATTCAAAAGAACATATCCAACATTTGCAGTCTTCAGTTTCCTTGAAGGTTCAAAAACGGTGCTATTGCTACATGTGCCTACTTCAGGTTCGGAGTCCAGTGCAGGCGCGGTCAAATGAAGCTTGAGCGAACCCCAAGCCGGGTAGCGACAAGCGCGACATCCCACGAGGTAGCTGTTGTTTGGAAAACATGGGCGTGTCTCAAAAGCAGGGGCGCCTCCTCATCAGGGACTTCGAACAGCTGAAACTGCACGAATTTTCCTTCAACAGTAAAAACGCGTGGGAAGAGTGTGGGGACAAACTTCTGGCGACTACTTTGGAACTTGGGGGACCTTTCTCATTCCTGGGGCGCAGTCTCTTGCGAGATTCGGAGTGCTGACAGAGTATGGGAGAAAGGAGCATCCAGCACCAATCATGTCCAAGTCTGTTGTGCTGGTGCTTCAAAAATCGTTTTGAGACACACCGAGGTTCCCCCCCCTCTCATTTTGGACAGATCTTTGGATCTGAGGAGCCCAAAAGTGGCCAATGGATCTGAGTGGCCCAACAGTGGTTGCTGAATCTGTGAAAAAGGGGTGTGCTGGGCTTCACCTTTGACAGAGGTGGATGCAGGTGTACAGATAAAAGGGTGCACAGAAAATGTTTGGAATGCCTGATTAGTCATGGACAGGTGACTGAACCCTGAAGCCTGGGTCGCTGTAACTCATATAGATGCAAATAGATAGGCGAGATCTGTCCATGTGAAGCACGTCTGACGAAAGCCTCGGCTTTGGACAGCCCAGTTTTCCGTGATTCTTCAACCGCTTCAAACTGTACTATCCTCTTCACGTCGCTTTGAGTTCACTTCTTCTTAACCTGCACCCTTCCGAACAGCTTTCCGTTCAGTCCTCAGCTTCTTTTGGACACTTCTAGTCCTTGGTCTACAAAACAGCACGTTGTTCTCCAACTCACCCCGTCTGTCTGTGCGTCATGCCATGCTCATGCCATCGCCTTCCGCAAAAACAAACACGCAGTCGCTGGCGCATGTCGCCACCGTCTCCAGCGGCATCGGTCACCCGCATCGGCCACCGTATCGGCACCTCTCGGGGCCCCCGAGAAGTCACCAACCCGGCCGGTGGACACCCCAAGGTTCGGGTCCCCACCCTTCAGAGATCCAAACTTCGGTCCTGGCGTGAATCCTTCGCAAGCAGAACGCTTCTACACCAGGGCCCCAAGTTGATAACATAGATAAATAGATAGATTCGATAGATAGATAGATAGATTTGTGAACGGAATTAGTTTTGTTTTTCCCGTCTTCTTTCAGAGTTATCCTCTTCAAATGTTGGATGGCATGTCCTTGGCAATCAGGAAGTGAACAATATGGACCAAATTAAGTATATTTTAGTTCTTTTTAGTTTAACCTTGCTATTGCGTGTGAAGAGGATTCTCTGGATTCAATATTCTAATGCATTTTGCTTGATTTATGGATTTTATAATGCTATTTCATAAGGACCAACACATCTATAAACAGTGAAATAGAGTTTGGAATTCCGAGAGTCTTCGCTGCGCTCCAGTGAGACCTTCTACCTCTTTCTCCTGCTGCTTATGTGCGCGCTGTGCGGTTTGAGGTGTCCCACTACACGGACCACATGGACACGGCCCAGAATGTGAATGCCAACGCAGCCCGGAAGTTGGCGTTGCCTGGTGGAAGTGGAACGGATGGGTCAGATGCGGAGGAAGGCACGGGCGTTGCTTGGGGATCATGGTACAACATTGGGGAATTAGATGGGCTTTGAGACTAGTGGATATTCTTGGCCTCAGGTTTTGGAAGGCTCTATTTTGGATTTGCAATTGGATAGAATGATGTATATATATATATATGTATTCTATTAGTATACGTGCTTGCTTTCTCTTTTTTCTCACGTATCATCCACCCTACTCAAATGAAAACAGTATATAATAGGTAACATAAAACAGGGCAGTTTTGAGCGTCGCAACGGTTTGTCCGTGGGCGAAGCCCAATAACGAAACCACCCTCAAGCCTGACATGTCACATCAAGGCAAAAACCTTGGGTCCCGACTCTACGACATATCAGATAACATACAGTGCTTTTGGAGTAGATGGCATTGGCCCCCCCAAGATGACTTCTAGATGAGGGTCCATATAGACCACCTCTTGGGGGGTTTTGTGCCATCTACTCTGAAACCAGTTTTTGTGGTGGTTCGTTCCTATCACGAGTGTTTCTACACCTTTTCACACGGCCAAGCTTCGCTTCCCGACGCCTGTTCCATGACGCCACCTTCGCTTCTCGCACGGGCCATGGCCGAGCAATTGGACCGACGGCGGTGAAGCGGAGCTTGGACTGCAGGATTTGGACTCCAAGACAGAAACCTGCATTTTGCACTCGAACCCATCAGCAGCTGTTTTGTGTGTTTCGTGCGATCACAAAGGAGGCAGAAGTTGAGTTGATTGGATGCAGCCCACTCGGATTCCCCCCGCACGAGCATGAAGATTTTTGTGGGGTGAGCCCGGGGGGACGTGACTCTCGGTGATTACAAAGGGGCCACTTCGCTGCCGACGGATTGAAAGCGAACGTCAAGAGCCAAGCGTCCTTCTTCTCCCCAAGTTCCAAGGGCGAGATGTGGTGGGATTCTTGTGATTGCTTGAGGCTCCTACCAAAAAGAACTAACATAGCTCAGTATGTGCGAAAAGGAGGCTAACTCATTGACCCACTCATTTCCTCTCGGAGCCACAACATCCGATGGAGAGCGGAGAGCGGATGTCTGAGCCAGTGGAGAAGGTGCGGGAAACGCAGACGAAAGGCGAAAGGCCAAAACTGAGATGAGGAGAACCATGGCAATTGGCAATGAACAGTTCTTCTTTTGGGTTGGGTGTTTTCAATTCCCAGATTAGTGTTTTCCCTTCCCGTGGTGTTTCCTTTTCCCAGATTGGTTTTTTTCGGTTCCCGTGGTGTTTCTGGTTCCCAGGTCTTGGTGTTTCCAGTTCCTGGATTGGTGTGTTTCCTTCCCGCCTTCGGTATTGGATTTTTTGGTTCCCACTCTTGGTGTTTTCCCTTCCCGGAGTTCTCCCCCCCAGGTCTGTGTGTTTTCAGTTCCTGGATTGGTGTTTTCCTTGCCCAGCTCCTGTGTTGGTGTTTTTGGTCACCAGGTTTGGGTGTTTTCAGTCCTGGACAATGTGTTCCCTGCCCGGCTCCTGTGTTGGTGTGCCCTTTCACGTGTTTGTTTGTCAGCTTTCGTTTGAATTTCTGGCTACCATTGCCCACCGCTGGATTTGAAAGCACGTACTCGTGTCACACAATTAAACAGACAAAGAACACTGCAAAACCGTCAAAGCCATTCGCTGTAAAAACATGTCAGTTTGCGTAAACCCACTGCCGCAAAAACACAAGGTACCCGGTGACACCATCATAACCGCGCACTGTACGAACACATAGACGAAAGCATACAGAGCTTCATTTTTGGCCATGAGCGCTGGGAGACCCTCAGCGAAGAAGATGAGGCAGGTGGTACAAAGTTATCTATCATGTAGTGTATCGCTCCTACCATGCCGTTACACCGCTGGATTTGAAAGCACGTACTCGTGTCACACAATTAAGCAGACAAAGAACACCGCACTGTACGAACACATAGACGAAAGCATACAGAGCTTCAATTTTGGCCATGACGCGCTGGGAGAACCTCAGCGAAGAAGACGAGGCAGGTGGTACAAACTTATCTATCATGTAGTGTATCGCTCCTACCATGTCGTTACAACTTGGCATGTAACCTTGTACCAGGCCAACTGGTGCTGGACCGCCAAAGACTATTTGCGCCAGCACTGTGCCCTTACAGTGAAAGCACCAGCCTGTAGCTTAATTGCAGCTGCTTCTGCTTACTTAGCTTTGCGCTGCTAAATCTGAGCCTACCAGGTTGGATTCCTCCGCTTCGCTGTCGTTTGGCCCCCAGCTGCAGCAGTACTGTTTGGTTCTGCAGCACGTAGTTTCGCTCTTGTCCGTGCTTACTGCTGTGCTGGCTGTTGCTGTTCCCGCTGTTCTTGCGGCCGCTGTTCCTGTCGCTGTCGCGGTTGTTTCTGTTGTTGTTGTTGCTGTTGCTTCTGTTGCTGTTGCTGTTGCTGGATGAGGCTGCTGCTGTTGCTGCTGCTGGTGGTGCTGCTGCTGCTGCTGCGGCGGTTCTTCTTTGCCACCTGTCCTTCTTTGTCGCCTGTCCTGCGTTGCTCATTCTGCCTTGTCAGGATGAGCCGGTGCGCGACGAGGCTCGTGCGCCAAAAGCTTGCTCTAGACTCCTCCACTCCATTCAGTTGCATGTTTGTCTTCAGAGTCTGCAATCGATGTTTTGCTACTCACACTGGCAGGAGAGGCGTATGGAAGTGGCCTGGCCGTCTTCCAAGGTACCCGCGCAACAGCTCCTTCATGACCGTGTGGGGAATGTATCAAATGATCGCATGCCACGCAGCCAGTCCTTTACTGCTGTGCGGCTGTTGCTGTTCCCGCTGTTCTTGCGGCCGCTGTTCCTGTCGCTGTCGCGGTTGTTTCTGTTGCTGTTGTTGTTGTTGTTGCTGTTGCTGTTGCTGTTGCTGGATGCGGCTGCTGCTGTTGCTGCTGCTGGTGGTGCTGCTGCGGCGGTTCTGCTGCTCGTTGTCGTTGTAGTAGTAGTAGTAGTAGTAGTAGTAGTAGTAGTAGTAGTAGTAGTAGTAGTTGTAGTTGTCGTTGTTGGTGGTGGTGTTGTTGGTGGTGTTGTTGTTGTCGTCGATTTTCGCATGTTCTTTGTTGATCGTTGTTGGTCGTCGTTGTTGGTCGTCGTCGTCGACGTCGTCGTCGTCGTCGTTGTTGTTGTGGTCGTTGTTGCTGTTGTTCGTGCTGGTGGTGGTGGTGGTGGTGGTGAAGGTGGTGGTGGTAGTGGTGGTAGTGGTTGTGGCTTTTGGTGGTTCGTGTTTGTTCGTGTCTTTACAACAATTCTTTCGCGTTGTCCCGCGACAACACAAGACTCCCACCATTTCACACGGGATCACAGCACACCCGACACGGGAACCGAAAACACCGGACGCGAAAACCACAAACACCGGAGACCTAAACGCACCGAACGCGGGAACCGAAAACATCCGTGCATTTTTCCCTCTTCAACGCAAGGCGGGTACCGAAAACACCATCACAGGAACTGAAAACACCCGCGGGCACTGAAAAAACCGAGCCGGGCACCGAAAACACCGCCGCGCGGGAACCAAAAACCCACTTGGGAACCAAAAACACCGCGGGAACCGAAAACACCAACGCGGGAAGAAAAAACACCGCGGGAACCAAAAACACCAATCCGGGAACCAAAAACCCGGAGCCCAGTTCTTTTTTTAAAGACAAATAGAGTCTCTGTGACTTAAAAAAACCAAGCTATTGTGGCTTCTTCCGCTGCGATCTGCCCTGTCTTGCAACCCCAAACCCCACCGAGCGCCCGTTTCGCCACCCGTTCGGCGTCCCGGGCGCCGCCGGCCACCGAGCGCAGGTCTCTCCGACCTCCTCGCAGGCCGTAGACGAGGAACGCTTCGTGGACCTGGACCGTCCGGGGTGCTTGGTACCGATGGCCACCGAATGGGGCGGAGAAATTGGCGGCAGATGGTGAATGAGAGGTCTATGCTTGGCACATTGGAGGGCTATGAGATGAGTCTATGGGTCCATCTTGTGGCAGGGAGGAGGATACCCAGAACTTTGTTTTAAACTTTTGCCACGAAATGAAGTCGGCAGGATAATTGAACTAAATTGGTCTTTCAACAGTACAACAGAAACGACTCAGTTTTTCCATATTTGGGAGCTCACGCTGAAAGTGAATCCTCCGAAAGTTCCTTTCAGTCGATCACGCTGCGAACGTTACAAGCACGGGCTGAACATCGGAGGTCCACATCGCGCATGCGATGAGGGCTGCACATGTGCTCTCACCACATCTCTCTCGTAAGAGGGCTCCAATCGCATCATGTCAGAAATTCACAGGGCCCTTTCACAGGGACCAGTAGCAACTCTAAGCAATCTACTGTAGCCAGAATCGTATAATGTCATATAAGGTCGAGCTGATCTAGTAGTAGACATCCCAGGGTCGGCGACTTCGCGGCCCGAGGCGAGCTGAGGAGAAGAGCGAAGCGAAAGGCACGGCCGTCTGGACGGCCTCTGGCCTGTGGGCGAACAGGGGCCCTGTTTCCTGGCCCGAGTGGTGAAACAGCGAAACAGCATGAAACAATGTGCAAGATCTATTTCCGCTCCTTTTTTGGGGGGTTTTGTGGTGGATGTTGATTTTTGTTCAACAGTGCCACCAATGTCCATGGGTTTTGTTGGGCACAACCGAGGGGATATCAATGTATCAATCCCACGGATTCACAAGGTATTGCTTTTTCGACTGACCTCGTCGGCCTAAGGGTCCTTGGCTCCTTGTGCAAGCAAAGACAAGCAAAGACTGTTTTGGGGCAAGAGTGTTTGCTCAAGAGGTGGGGAGTGCACCTGCAGCAGGCCATTTCTGGGATTTTCTGTTGCCTGGTAGCTGTACCCAAAAGGGTATTCTCTGACACCCAGAAGGACAATGGAACATGTTTTGGACTTGTGAAATCAAGTGGCAGCTGGCGCCACAAAGCCCAAGTTGTAGATCAGGACACTGCGTTCAACGGGTTTTGACCAGCCCCCTCTAGGCTGTGGTTGGTCAAGATGAAACACACCAGAGCTAGGGCGAAGGTGCCTTGAGTCTGTTCCCCAAAAGAACAGTTGTTGTGTGGAGCATCACTGTCCCAAAGTCGCAACCCACAGCCGATTTTTGGAAGATGACGATCTGTCTGGCCTGGTGATGTTCGCTGACTGGGGGAATGCGGAGAACTCCCGCAGTCTCCAAGTCTCTGGGTCGCCGCGCAGGCGGCCGAGGAGCTCGAGGCCAGTGAGGATGAGGATGAGTCCGATGCCACTGGAGATGAGGAGGTGCGGGGGGGAAGAAGTGGACAACACATGGATGCAGTTTTCTTAGCCGAAGTGTAACATTTCCAGTTGCGCCTTCCCGAAAAGTATCTGTGAATTCACCTGCCCTTTCACGAACTGGACTGGACTGGGTGGGGACACACGAAGGAATGAATCAACATCCAAAATTAGGTGGCTATGTCAGGTGTCAATCTTGGTTTGGGATTACTTGCGCATGCCAGAACCCACTGATTTGGTGAATCCTTTGATTCTGGCAGATCCCCTAGGCCAGGGCGACCCGGGCGTTCGCCCCGCCCCGCCGCGGCCCGCGCTGCCCGAGGTCGAGCGCCGTCGCAAGCTCGCGGGACGGACGGACGTCCTAGGCCGGAGACATGGCGACCGGTGGAGGTCGCCACGGAAGACGCTGCAAAGCTCCCAAGCTAAGATGTTTCTTCGGTCAATAACCAGATCGCAAAGGAGATCTTCATCTTCCAATCTCAGACGAACAGAGGAGAATCCGAAAGTGTGACTATGATCCCAAGCAAAGGTCCATCCTGTCGTTTTTCTTTCAGAAAAGGACTGTCTTGGCGGATGAACATGGATTGTAGATCATCAAGGCTTCTATTAAGCCCCATGAGGGCTTGGCTGGTTTGATGAGATCTTGCTGGTGTGGCGATTTCATGCGCGGTGTGGGCATATCGGAGGCCTGGATGGTGTGGCGCTTTTCTGCCTGGTCTGGGTCATCACCACTGGAGCCGCTGTGGCATTGATGGGGCAGCGCTGTGGAGTGAAGATGTGGAATCGATGAACACAAGTGGTGAGTAGCACTGGAAATGGTGATGATCTGATACCTTGGGCTATTCCCCCCCTTGCAGTGACCTTCGCGATCCGTGCTCTTGCCAGCATGGTATTCCTGCCAGTGGTGCGCCCCAAGTCAAGTGGTGATACAGCTTTTTCATCAATAGTCAGGGACCATCCCAGCTGAGGAAGGTCACTAACTAGCCCAAACCCTCCAAAATACAATCAATGTCTACAAGAACAACCACTACGTACCCGGGTCTTTGGACCACCTCGCGGTCTTTTTGGGCTGAGGTCCTCTTTTCTCTCCTCTACTTCAGCATCTTTGCCCGTGATCGGAATTTCTTCAAGCCACTGCAGTGCCTGGACGAGGAATTCTCGCCTGGGGCGTTTTTGGTCTTGTTATCCAGTGAGCTGCAGCCGAATTACAACGAATTAACGGATCGAGCGGTTGCAGTGCCACTCGATCATCTATTTGGAGAAACTAGTAAAGACAGTTTCGCTGTCCCCGCAAGGAGCTTCATAACTTGAAACGATCCAATCAAGATCCAGCATAGAAACCCAAATAGCTCAGCAAAGGCTTCTGATGCTTTTGATGCTTCTGGAATGCCCTGCATTATTTGCATTTCCAACATCCGCATCATCCTACCAAACCTGTATCTCTCACATTCGGTTGTTGGGGTCAACCTACTCCCTGACATCTTCTTTTCACGTGCCACTGCTTAGCCTTTCACTCACAAATCTGGTCCGCATTGAGGAATGCTCTCGGTTCGGAGTGTGGGAGCAACCTCCCCTGAGTGCAGGGCATCCTTCATTGGATCCATTAGGTTGGCAGAGGGTTTTGGTAGATTTTCAGAAACCACTTAGACCCTGTAACAACATGTGGACTCAGCTGGATTTGCCATGGTCACAGCAGAGTCGGAATCGAAGGCACACATCTCGAGTTTGGAAGATGTGGATCAGTGGTCGTTGTAAGGAAGGAGGAAGTGGAAGTGGAACAAGGGTATGATGTTATGCATTTGTTATATCTTTTGAACAAGGGAAGGAGGGAATGGAACCCCATCGAATTCGCGAATCAAGGGGCCATGTGGCCGTACCGGTCATCAACCGGTGGTCTTCCCGGCAGCAACGGTTCAGGCGCTCGCGCGTGGGGAAGTTCTTCCATGGAGGCATTGCGGGTGTCCTGGAGCTCTGAGGTCGAAGCGGTGAAGATCCGGTGGAAGCGATGCAAGGCATGCTTAGAGAGACCAAAGACGTCGCCTAGAGAAGTAGAGAGATACATCGATGGCAAAAGGGCATTGGTTTTATCGAAAGTTTGTAGTCATTTGCAAGCAACAAGCAGAAGTGACAATCGAAACACTAAGAAAGGAACAGGAAAGAAGATAATAGAGACTTGGGAGAATCCCTCAAGAACATGTGCAAAGGATCTTGTGTTGTTGTCTTGTACACTACATAGCAGTTCCTTTAGATAATGACATTATGGGGGTGGGTGTGGGGTACGATTAGAGGAGCATTATTGGCTGAACGGAGATGATATCTTCACAGCCATTCTGGCGTCTCTTCAGATTCCACAAAGACCTTAGCAAAGACCTGATCCAGAGAACAAGAGCGCAAGAAAGAAGTGATGGTCAATGGGGTCTCCAGCTGATGTTGCTTGATTGGGACAGAAGAAGGAATTTCTTAGACTAAACATCACATGTTCTTGTCCTCTTTGAAAACCATGATCATAGATAATTCAAGAGTGCATGCTTCACTACCCCAGCTTTGTTTTCGGGTCTCCAACAGCCGCCTTGGCCTTCCGAGAGGCAAGGCTTCTACTGCGGCAGGATATGCTTCTAGAGTGGTCTACTTCAGCGGCTTGCGGCGCTTGAGCCATTTTCTGCAAGGAAGCGCATGTCCAGATGGCAAAACGCCGAGTCAAACATCTCCAACAACTCCCACTCATTGCCCACCGACGGAATCGAAAGGAATGTAAAGGGAATCCGGTGAATCTGCACTTCTAAAGCATCCTAACCAAAGTCCTACGACCCCAAAGAAACCCTAAATATCCTTCAGCCGCTCCTCCAAGTATCACGCGGAAAAAATTGAACATTCCTCATTGCCAGACAATTTCAAGTCGAGTTGCTGCTTCATTGAGGCCATGCCATTTGAAGTTGTAAAGAATTCAGAATAGCTCGTCTCCATGCTGCGCCATGGGACGTGGAACTGCAGTGGGCGGTAGTTTCAGTGTCTTGGGCGCCGCTGGGGCGGCGCCCTTCGCGGTTGGCGCCGGCCCGCCGCCAAGGCAGGCTGATCCCGGTCAGATGGGTTCCATGCTGGTCGAGCACCCTGGAAATAACAGCCCTTGAGTTCAAACACTCTTTTCTTTCGAAAGCAGTTTGGGTGGGCATGTTGGTGCAAGTGGGGTGTCCTTGGACAGACTCTGCTCACCAGACTCAGAGCTTATAGATCAGAAGTGGTGTCAACGTAGGGAGATCGTGAGAGACCCAAGTTTTCACAGCCAACAACAAGGGGTCGGTGAACTCAAGATGCGATGAGATGGATGAGGAGAACCCTTTCTTCAGAGTGCTAAGAAGTTCTCTTCTTTTTGCACATATTTGGAATGTAGGTGTCTTGGCCATGTTCTTCCCTCCCTTTTTCCACCAAACTGCACCTCTCCCTTCTGTCCACAGATCCACCGGTCGCCTGCTGCTGGTGGACTGCAACAACGTCCGTGGGCGTGGCCGTTCTGGGCGCTTTGAGCCTTGCCTTGCCTGGCCGCATGGTCAGTGGATCCGATCTGATCGGTGGTTGGCGACGTTTCTGTTGGTTAAAGCTGTCTTGGTGGTGCTTTATTCAGATCACATCACAAGCAGGTGGTGGAAACGCCAAGGGGTCGGAGCTTAGGAACCTTCTCACTGGCAGCTCGAGTGGTATAGAGAAGCAGCCAAGCCCTCAAGCCCATTTTGCTTGGTGGGTCGTAGTCTTAGTTGTTATACAGCTGCTCCTCAGCTGGGTTACTGTAGTTGATTCGTCCAATGTTTGGCCTGAGGACCTTAGCAGCTCTCAATTCCTCAGCTGGCTTCATCGCTGGACTCAGACGCGTGCGAAGGAGGAGCACTACAAGCAGGCAGGGCCGGCTTGCTGGGCTTGGAAGCCTTGGCAGTGTATAGTCAGAAGCCTTGGAGCCAGAGATAGAAGGGGAGACATGAAGAGTCACGAGGGCTCCAATGAGGGGTATTCATCTACTTTGTATGGACTTTCTATTCAGAACTTAATCCCCTGACATGCACTGAATCTTTGGATTTGTCTCGGTCTCCCGACGTTCCAGAGTCAATCCTCCCCTTGCGCAGGTGGTCGCCACCTTCGACCACGGTTGGCATCCTGCCTTGGTGGCTCTTGCTGATCTGACCGCCCTCTGGCGATCCGTGAGGGGGGTGGCGTGTGAGTTATCTCAGATGTGGCTGGTCACTGCAAGAAGTGTCACTTCTCCCTTGCCAGATGTGAAGAGTTGGGTCAATGGAGAGGTAGATGGGGGGGAAGTGCTCCAGGAGCCCAGAGCTGTATCATATGTATCTGAAAAAGGCCTGTGAGTCCATGAACTTGGGGAGAAACCTTAGAAGTCTGGGACGCCTGGTAGGGTGATGCCAAAGCGTCCAAAGCTGATATGAGCAGTCTAAACGTAGGACGCAGGGAGAATCATGATGCTCATGATGTGATTTAACATTACCAGCATCATTAAGTAGAAAAAACAATTCAATGGTCTCTTTCAGTGCCACTCTTTTTGGGAGCCAAACATCAACACTCCAGGATCTGAGGGTTCAGTTGCACACTTTTGGTTCTTCTCATCCAGTTTTGATCATTTCTTTGGTCACAACCTGTTTGGTTCAGGTCGCCTTTGCTGGACCGAAGCTCTTGGCCGACGATCTGATCTACGGGCTTTCGAGGCAGATGGGTCGGAGGGGCGGCTGGTTTGGTGGATTTGAAGAGATGATCTTCAACCACCCTGAGGATCATCAACACAGGGATCACCAACCACCGGGTGGTTCAAATCATCAACACAGGGTGGATGATCCAACCCATGGCTCAATGGCTCTTCACCCTCATCTTCTCCGAAATACATCCTTTTCTTCAGAAACAGACTGTCATGAGATGTGAGAGAAATTCTGCAGTTTTCCGTTCACAACTGTTCCTTTTGTTCACAACTTGTCCTTCAGGGAAAGCAAATTTGCCCCCCCGACTTCGATTGGTGTCAACATGGAAGATCTCTGCGACCTTGGTTGTGTTGGTGTTTTGTTTCTCCCAAAAAAACACAGAGGCGCTTCCAAGTGTTGCAAGAAGTCCAACCCGATCGCTAGATTTCAGGAGAAGACCCGCACGAAATCATGGCACTGGCTGGCCGCTAGACTTTCCACCAGTGTTTTTGAGGGTCCAAAACAGCCTGAAGCA